CGTGAGAGGCGCCTAACGGGATCGGGTGGTCAGGCTCACGGACTTGGTCAATGCATGTCATCGTATCCCAAATGCGTGGATCGAGGCTCAAGGTGTCAATAACTGGATCGTCTGTCTACAGGCCGGAATATTGCTGACTGTGGCGTTCAACAACAAACAAACAAACAAACAAACAAACAAACAGGTGTTAACGACACTAGTGAATCCAACGAGCAGGGATGTGTAGCAAGTCGACTATAATACAGTGTTATGTGACCTCATGTAAATCCCCCTATGGGGGGTACATGTTTTTTCTGGGATATCATGGCGTTGCTGAGGGGGGGGGGGGGCTGCTGTCATGCAGGTACACGAAGATGGGTATTATGCTGACAAACAAAGAATCATGGTGTGAGTATAGAATTCGAAATCACGACCATCGGATTCTGGTGCGCCTAAGGGACGCAACTCTGCTGGACAGCGACTTCCGTTGCCTAGGACTCGGTAACATACCTCCTTTTAACAAAGTATAAATAAGCTCAGACCGTTCTGTTGTTGGGATGGAACGTTAGTCAGTCATGGTAACTTAACAATCCATTTGAGTGAAAGAGTGCATTAACAACCTAAGTTGTTGGTTGGTTGGTTTGCTGTTTAACGCCGCACTCAGCAATATTCTAGCTATATATATATGAAGGCGGTCTGTAAATAATCGAGTGTTGACCAGACAATCCAGCGATTGACATCATGAGCATCGATCCACGCAATTGGGATCGATGAAATGCATCAACCAAGTCAGCGAGCCTGACCACCCTATCCCGTTAGTCGCCTCTTACGGCAAGCATAGTCGCCTTTTACGGCAAGCATGGGTTGCTGAAGACCTATTCTACCCCGGATCTTCACGTTTCTGTTGCTAAGGACTTGACTTTAAAATTCCTAAAGGCAGTGACATAACACAGGGCATCAGTATTTAATAGACAGTATTAATCATACGGTTCGAGGCATACTAAAAATATGTTGTTCTTGACAATACTGGATCTCTATATTGACAGAACATAAATTGCTGCATGGCCTAAAGACTGCTAAGTCTTTGTAAACAAAATCGAAATATATCCGCTTCTTATTTAAAAAATCAATAGAACTGCACCGAACAAATGATTGTTCGATAATGACAGCATTTAAAATGTTCAAACACAAAACAGACTGACGTCGACAAGAAAATTGGTCATATTGATTCGGTGATTAAAACTTGTCGAAGAATAGGAGAAAAGGTAAATTGTGTTTTTGTTTTGTGAAGTACATTACAACGTAATGACATTGTATCTCAATCATTCAAAAAACATACAACATCAGACGTTCTCATAATATAATAATGCCTTTAATGAATAGTATTACAAAGATATGTGAATTCTCGTTTACACCAAACTGTGCTTAGATATTAACACATGCTTGACATGTTTCAATCCAATTAACCACATTCCCATTATTATTTTCGCTGATAGATCCTGAACACGTTCAGACTGAAAGCATGTTTAGATCCTGTAGAACCTAAACATGTTCAGATTTGAAACACAATGCTTAACATGTTTAAGATTTAAACATGTTCAGGCCTCTGGGTGCGTTACAATAATTGGACAATTAACGTGCTAAGGTTTATGTTTAGCATCTATTAAAGCTAAAATGGATAGGATCATCATTAACTTATCAGAAATGAGCGGGCCACTGTAACTTGATAATGCCCTAATGTTGTTTGACAAAGGGCCTTTATCATGCCCGTTGTTAGGTTTGTTCTGTGACGTTTCTATATTTGTAAAAGTGGGTAAGTGACACTCGTGTTGATTGCAGTAAATGTTTCCAAATCGATATTGTGTTTTTTATTTTTATTTGACAACAAATTCTATCCATTTTAGCTCTAATAACGGTAAGGCTATTTTTCTTGGCATTATCATTGGCAGAAGCCATCCGTCATTACAACTGCCCTCTTTTGTCGGGCAGTTAATGGAATACCTCGGGCTTCTACAAATGATAATGCCCCGAAAAATAGCTTTACCCTTTGTGGCGTGTTTTACGGCGTTAGTTTGTCGTAGGAAGACTTAATTAACCAACAACACGTCAGCTGATCCAGAGTAGCATTTACTTCTCAAAGCTACATTGTAGGAACAGAGTTACTTCCCTTGTTACCGTACATAACAATTATGCACGCTTATCATAAATACGCCACACCCTTATCAGTCCATCCTATAGCAAATGGTGGAATATATTAGCCTTTCAGCCCTAGCCTTTCAGCGAAGAAATATTGAAGCCTTTCCTCGTCTCAATTCCCGTTAACAAATAAAATCTAGTGTACATTGATCCTTTGACCGAGCATGCTTTAGGATGTGTATTTGGCGCATTACATATATGTACATTACTATAAGGGTAACGCTATTTTTCAGGGAATTATCATTTGCAGAAGCCCGAGGTTTTCCATTAACTGCCCGACGAAAGGGGGCTGTTGAAAAGACCGAGGGCTTCTGCAAATGATAATGCCCTGAAAAATAGCGTTACCATTATTAGAGCTAAAATGGATGGAATTTGTTATCAAATAAAAAGAAACAACAATATCGGTTTCGAAACATTTACTGCAATCAACACGAATGTCACTTACCCACTTTTACAAATATGGTAACGTCATAGAACAAACCAGATGACGTCACTATTGAACGTGACGTCACCTATCCCAATCCTATGACGTCACCTAACAACAGCGTGATAATTGCCCGTCGTCAAGCAATGTGAGGGCATTATCAAGTTACAGTGGCCCGCTCATTTTTGATAACATGCGGGCGGCTTGTTGATAATTTTATCCATTTTAGCTATAATATAGATTAATTAAGTGACGCCGTATTTCTCACTGTCTTGGCAACTTTGACATTATGCGTACAATCGTATGACAAAGCGAAAGTACCTTAAATAATTATTCATTTAAAAGCTGCTGTATAACCCATGTCATGTCACATATTCTTTGTACATGCTCGTATGCCAATTTTTATAATAAGCCTGACGCGGTGTGATACACTGATTATTGTTAATTGTGAAAGATATATATTTTGATGCTAGTTGGCAATGCAGCTGCCGGTAATCCTATCAACGAAATGTACATGCATCTATGAATAAAACAAAATGGTTTTAGTGAGCAGTGCTCATGTCTCTAATTCTCTTCTTACATTTCTGCATTTAATGTGTAAATTGTAAATAGGCAAGCGTGTAAATCCATAGCAGAGGGCGATATAATATGTTATATGTATGCCAGATCCTTTTTTCTTTTGTAAATTCATTTTGTTCAAACTTATAACAAATCAACAACCCAATAATAATGCATCTGACATTTTGAAGAAATCATTTACCCTGACTTATAATGGTTATGAGATGTAGGGTTTTACCAATTTGGATGGCATTGAACGTGTGAGAGTGAGTTATCCCGAGTGGGTGATATGTGCTGCCAAGCGGAACTGCCTGTATAGTGAATGAGTATGGTTTTAAGCCGCTTTTAGCAATATTCCAGCAATATCACGGCGGGGAACACCAGAAATGGGCTTCACACATTGTACCCATGAGGGGAATTGAACCCGGGTCTTCGGCGTGACGAGCGAACGATTTAACCACTAGGCTATCCCACCGCCTCTATGCCTGTGGAGAATATGACATGTACCCTTTATAAAATGTATATTAAGCTGTGATATGTTTGTCTGATGTTTTCACTGTGAATAAAGTTTGTTTAAACAAATCAACAAATCAAAAATAATGTATTTAATATGTATGACAAAATCATATTACCTTGACTAAAGGTAAGATGTGACGTTTTACTAATTTTGCTTGTATTGAACGTGATATTTATTATATTTATGACGTCTATAACGCGTCCACTGTCACACACTTGAGCGTCTATATTACGTCTATAAACCATTACTGTCACACACTTGAGAGTCTATATGACGTCTATAAACCGTCCACTGTCACATACTTGAGCGTGTATATGATGTCTAAAAACCGTCCATTGTCACACAGGTTTCAACGTATAAATTGTTAATTGCCCTGCATTCCAGCGTCACTAATTGAGGCCTATCAAACGCGGTGTCGTACAGCAGCACAGTTGATCCTGAGTTTGTTCATGCTGGTTCGATTTCATGTACCGGTACTGCACGTGAAGCTGCTATGTCTACTGTTGTGATGTGCAGTCCCAAACGGTGTAAGCCACTGTCTCATACGCATCAGCGTCTTCTCAAGAAACCCCTGTACTCTGCTACAAGCTCGTTAAAAGAAATCTTCTGGTATATGCGTCTGTTGGGCACAATGAAATATTGGTGTATCGCAAGCATGGATCTGTTCACGGCAACCTTCGTCCTTATGTAGCCATGCTCAATCCTGAATCAAACGCCACCCCCACCCCGTCAGAACAGTTCATATTATTGTTTACCTTCCTGACTGCTGTGGGAATAGCACCATGGACCCAAGTGGACCCACCTTCAACTACCAACGAAGTGTTTTGGGATTACAAACAAATCGCCACAGGCAGAGGATCATGGCGTAGTCACGGCATCTTATTGGCTGAAGTCTCCCGGCGGGTTAAACGCAGTCCCCACCACGTCACCTGCTAATACCACCCCTCCCGTACATAGCCACACACCCAACCCCACCTATACACACACACGCACGCACACATCGACTCATCCCGACTCGACCCCTTTCCTCTCCCCCCTCCTTTCCCCCTCCTTCCCCCCTTCTTTATCGTGTCTTCCCTGGCGTCCTCTCCCACTACAACCCACCTACGGCCTTCCAACCCACCCTGCCGAGTGAACTTCTGTTGGTTACTATACCTCAGTATTAGAGACGATCGATCGGTTTATCGAATTTATAGATTCGTGAATTACATGCTGGCTAGTTGACACGAATTGAAGGGCCAAGATTGTAGATGGTAGTCAGTATACAGTTAAACAGATAATCCCAAGGTACAAAATGTAACAAACACAATCAATTGCTCCCCGGGATTGATTCCACACATGGGTAAAATGGCAGAACCCCCCTTCTGATGTTTCCCGTCGTACCATTGCTGGAATATTGCTAAAAGCGACATAAAACCCTACTCCCCTACTCACTCAACAGAAAGGGACGTTACATTCCTCCCAACGAACGCTGGGGTCCACCGTATAACACCACGGGATTGTGTGCCCCGGCATCCGACAGAAGTTGCGCTCGTCAACTAGGGCAGGGTCCCCGCGTGACATCCCCCTGGGAAAATACACACGATCGTGTGGGATGTCAGTGTCCCACCTCTGACATGTCCGGCCAGTCTTGGTAATGTTCAGGGTTCCGAGATAGAGCGCTGATGCCGTGTAGCATAACTCCTCTGAAAAATATCAACAGAGGAAGTTCATGACTATGCAATAACAAATGGACGCCTCCTCTATTTCTGTTTTATGCGCCTCAAGTAATAACGAGTGCGTAAATCGGGTCTACCCGAAGCGCTTGTTAAATCCCCACCATGATCATCATCATCAGCAGCAGCAGCAGCAGCAGCAGCATCAAATGGTTCCTGAGAGGAAATAAATCCCCCGACCACGTTCCTAAAAAGAGGTAACAAGTGAAGTGTCCTCTAGAGCTAGAGAGGAAACAAGACTCTATTAACCCAAGGAAAATTCATATTGCACAGGGGGCACGGGTGGCCCAGTCGTCTAAGGCGTGCAGGGTTACGTCCACGCAAGAAACCTATGATTGTGGGTTCGAATCCCGGTTCGCCCCGATTATGTTTCTAGGTTTGTCAGCACCATAGCCGTGCTCGTGGGCTTCACCGAAGTGGTAAACGTCTGAGGCCTGCATCACTTCGGGCTTTCCTCCCACATTAAACTGACACACCGTGATTTAAATGGAATACTGTTAAAAGCGGCGTTAAACCCAACTCACCCACACATATTGCACAGTTGATTTGCATTTAAAATATGAAAAAAGAAAACGTATGACATTAAAACATGTACATAAGAAAATAAGACACATGAGACTTAATATATGTCTTAATGAATACTCGTGGGTACACCATTGGTACAAAAACCATGTGACAATGACCATGAAATTGGAAAGACATGTAGGCGTTTCAATCACAGGTTGTCATTTAGTGAGTGATTGAGTATGGTTTTACGCCGCTTTTAGCAATATTCCAGCAATGTCACGGCGGGGGACACCAGAAATGGGCTTCACACATTGTACCCATGTCGGGAATCGAACCCCGGTCTTCGGCGTGACGAGCGAACGCTTTAACCTCTAGGCTACCCGACGGCCCGGTTGTCATTTATAAAGATAATAAGTGGTCTATAAGTCCTGCCCTCTTAGTCAGCTTTCTGTGCACATTAATCCTTTATGTGCTTCATTCTCCAATATCTAAATCAACATGTAATCTAGTTCTTTTGAAAATAAATCTGCAGATATCTATCCCCTCAAAGTGAGTTGTGGATTGTAAACACAGTTTAACTATGTAACTTGTCGGATGAACTTCAACAATAAGCTCTGAAAGGACCAGGCTTCGTGGGTTATCTTAATGAAATAATTAATTTTGCTTGACGCGGCTGGGCGAAAGGGTAAAGAAATATAAAGGCGCCCTTAAAATAACCAAGTCTGAACAAGCCAACTAGTGATTGGGAGAAAGAGCTGCACGTCATCATCGCAATGACACGCAGTCAGCCAAATCCAAGAGCCTGACCACCTGACCCGTATCTACCGGCTGTGACGGCATACATAGGATACTGTGGACTGCCCAGGGATACAGGGATGTTATACTCCAGCAAAAATGACTTGAATGACCTGAATAGCTATATTTATCTACCAGGGCCCTCTACCAGGGCCCACTTGCACAAAACGATCTTAGCGCTACGATTATTGTAAGCCTATGTTAAAGTATGGGAGTTAAGATCATCTTAGCGCTAAGATCGCTTTGTGCAAGTGGGCCCAGATGTAGTGCCAGGCTGTCTCAGTCCATGACAAGAAAGTGGAGACATACAGAATACAGAGGTCAACATCACCAGTTGGGCCCGTGAGTCACCGCCTTCTGGCATAAGGCTCTAGGCAGTTTATTCCACCCAATAGTGTGAATTCATACAGGTTAAACATGACCAAGACCAAAATATACATTAAAATACAAGACGCGTGTGCATATACAATATTACGTACAGGGCTTGGCATGACCAGCCGATTGTAAAGACCGGCCCATCTTACCACCTGTTTTGGCGAAGTAAGGGTCAAAGTAGTGTGTTTGGCAAAGGAACACAGTTCCTGGAACCTGTGCCCTCAACTACCAGAATCCCGTCCTCCACCGACACAGGGGCGCAACCCACGGCAAAAAGGGTTGCCCAATTTAGTCGCCTCATACGATCAGCAATGGGGTGTTGAGGACACATTCTACCCCGGGTCCACATGGGGAATATACGTGATGAATGTGGACATGTTAGTGAAAGCATGTCATATACGTGATGTATATTGACATGTAAGTGATCGCACACTATATACGTGGTGAACGTGAACATGTTATTGATGGTGAGCTATATGCGTGATTTATTGTTGGCATATTGGCATGATCTATTTATACAGATGGACAGGTTATACATCACCTCGTTGACATTCATAGCTCCCGTCCCTGTCTCTACATGTTTCGTCCACACCGCAAGGCCTGGACGCACAAATACCGACAAGTCTCTGAAAAGAAGACCAACATTCATAGGCTTTGTCGTACCATGGTTTCTGGGCCGTTGGTAGATGTCAATTTTTTTCTCTCAAGTCAGTGTCAATAGTATCGGTCGTATCAGATTCAATTTAGTGAAACAGGCGTTACGTGAAGAGATTAAAGTCTCCACCCGAAAATGTCATCTCACATAAACGAATTCTGTTCCGGTGAATTTCTTAACCATTTAATAAAAAAACGTCGCCTCAGTGTTAGAATGTGATTCAATGAAATATGTTTAGGGGTCCATATTTGAACAGGGTAAGTTTCACTCGTTCACGTGAGTATCACATCATACAGCCCAATCTAGCGGCTTAAATAGTTTTTGTCTTGAGATCAGACTGTTTATATAATTTCTATTAACCGTAAACAAAATCGATCGTCATGTTGTACGAACTACATGCGGCGGTATCGGACGTTACACGGACAACGTGGATACCATGCAATATCTCTACTCCTTTATGTAGGCATCATGTAAGTAAAGGGAACGGAATTGGCCGAGTAGTCATTCATAGGAAAACAAGGTTCATTCTGGCGATGATATTCCAGTTCGTTTGTTGTTCATCGCTGCACTCAGCAATAGCCAAGCTTCATGACAGCGGTCTGTACACATTCGAGTCTGGTCCAGACAATCCAGTGATTGACATCATGAGCATTGATCTTCGCAGATGACATGCATCAACCAAATTAGCGAGCCTGACCACCTGATCCCGTTTGTATGGGTGACATGTATGGGTTGCTGAAGACACATTGTATCCCGGACCTTCACGGGTGTATTTGGCAGTAGAAGCCATACCGAGACATCCGTCCCTTACCGACCAGGATCCGCTTGAGGGAGAGGGTAGAGGTGTCCATTCCCCCGATCTGCCTTGGTCTGGCCACATACCCGTGCTCGCGAAATTCCAACATTAAGCTGACATATACGATTTCGAAAAAAATATAGAGCCATACATTAATCAGTTATGCCATGATTATAGTATTATGAAAGAAAAGGGTGGTTATAAACTTTTTACGTATTTATATAACGCCATTACACAACCATCTTCCCGTGGCAAGAGAGTTAACTGACCATAAAAGTCCAGTTTCAACCCTTGCCGAACTAGGCTGGAATTCCAGTGGCTATTATGAGTTATGTCCCTTCTAAGCCTCTCCTAAAAGCCAATCAGATTCCACCTCTCGTATCACTTGCATTTGCTTCAAACAAAAGAGCGGCGCTCAGTCAAGACGATCTGATCGATAATCAAGGTCTATATTGTGATAAAACGGGTCTTACATCGCGAAATCCATCAAATCACGTGAGCACCTTGATAAAAAACATGAAACGATTTGGAAAATATCTGTTGACAACGAGTTGGCGGTACACATGCTTTGCAAATCCCGCAATCGACCGAAATCTGCACGACAGTTTACGAACCGGATTTCGATTTCGTTGCGCGGTTTTGATTGGACTATGCATAGACTCGTTGGTCAAAATGTTACTCCATAATACTAGCCTAGTTCGGCAAGGGTGGCAACTGGACTTCTCTTGCCTCGGGAAGATGTTACCGGTGCTTTTTGATTCAACACTAGGGATCAGGCCGCCATTGTTCCATCAAACATCATCACTAGTAAATATGCAAATAGACGGTCTCTGAGTTAAAAGCTTGCATTAATAACCTTCCTATTCGCAAGGCCAACCTTATTTCAAGTTTCAGTATTTCCATTAAGTTTATGTTTTATTCATAGCGAAAGTATACGGTCTATTTCACATTTAAAAAAATACCCGTGAAGATCCGGGGTAGAATAGATCTTCAGCAACCCATGCTTACCGTAAAAGGCGACAATGCTAGTCGTAAGGGGCGACTAAAGGGATCGTGTGGTCAAGCTCGCTGACTTGCATTTGCGTATATCGAGGCTCTAGATGTCAATAACTGGATTGTCTGGTCCAGACTCGATTATTTACAGACCGCGGTCATAGCTGGAATATTGCTTAGTGCAGCGTTAAACAACAAACAAACAAATCAAATCCAGATAGTTAACAAAGGGGTATGTTCCTCCCGGCTTTTACATGGATGGGGGCTAAACCGATATGGTTGCCAACGGACTACACATGTACGAGTGAGTGAGTTTGGTTTAACGCCGCTTTGAACAGTATTCCAGTTATATCACGGCGTGTCAGCTTAATGTGGGAGGAAAGCCCCAAGTGAAGCAGGTTTCAGGCGTTTACCACTTCGGTGAAACCCACGAGCACGGTTATGGTGCTGACAAACCTAGAAACATAATCGGGCAAACCGGGATTCGAACCCACAATCATAGGTTTCTGGCGTGCCCAAGGGACTCAACTCTGCACAGCGAATCGCAGCGCCTTGCCCAAAGGGACTCAACTCTGCACAGCGAATCGCAGCGCCTTGCCCAAAGGGACTCAACTCTGCACAGCGAATCGCAGCGCCTTAGACGACTGGGCAACCCCACTTAAAAGTGTGACTTTCAGAGGATCTCATTATTCAGAATTCAAAGTTATTCAAAAAGGAATATATAAATGAGTATGACTACGTTAATACTTAAGTAAATAGTGTACCAAGTAGTGTTTATGTTAGATGTTTCACTACAACAAGATACGACTGAACTTGATTCGTAGACCGCGGCTAAGATCGCCTACATTTTCCGGCTGCATAGTCACGTGACACAGCATTTCTGCATTTGGAAAACAAAACATATCATTGATTTTGACGCAATGCCAATACCTAACCTCACTACTTTTTCTGTAGGTTTGTGTGACACATGGGGAATTTAACTGATGCGAGTTGGCAACGAATACCATCTTGTGTGGTGTTCAGAAGGTCGGTATACAGTCCGTGTGTTGTTGCTTGTTAATGCGGCTAGAAACTGCTAAGGTTAAACAATCGATTATTTGTTCAAGATTCCAGAGATTTTAAGACTATTTGTATAAGAAAAAAAAGATAGTGTATTTTACAAAATAATTAGATACAGCATGTCCCGAATAAGGATTTTCTGTCGTTAAACAAATTAAACGATTCATAAATCTTTTAAATGATTAAATATCACCACGATTACTATATCTTAAGTAAATATGTTTTAAAATGAGCTATACGAGGAGCTTTGGGGGAATAAAACACTTATTTTTAAAGGGAGGGGTATCATATGTGGAAATAATAAGATGTCACTTTATGAGTATACAGTGCCTTTAAGAAAGTGGTCAAATGTAACATCTGTTATATTTAGGAGAATACTTTCTTAGTAAAGTACAAACTATAGAACTGTTTCGGGTTGTGTTGTGTGACTGATTAAAACCCACACTCTCAGAGTGAAACACCTAATCGCCAGCACTCAAAGTACAGCGATCTATCCCACTCAGCTACCGAGGCTGGAAGTCCGACAGGTGGTAGTCTGGATCACGTACTGTGTGTACCCCTCTGATTTAGTGAGTGAGTGAGCAATATCACGGCAGGGGACACCAGAAATGGGCACCACATTGTACCCATGTCGGGAATCGAATCCGGGTCTTCGGCGTGACGAGCGAATGCTTTAACCACTAGGCTTCCCGACTAAATTTCTGTTCAAAATATCACAAACAATTCGAATACATTCTGCTACACCTTCATTAACATTATCAGATAGACCGTAGATAACCACATTATTTTCCCTGCTATATTGTTCCTGATTTTTTCAATTCCATTCTCAGTCTATTTTAATCTGTCCTCAAGTTTCTTCAAACCCGTTTCGTCACCTGGTCATACTGGTGACATGTGACTCTCTACCGTACCTTGGTGGCATGTGGATCTGTATCATACTGGTGACATGTGACTCTCCACCATACCTTGGTGGCATGTGGATCTGTATCATACTGGTGACATGTGACTCTCCACCATACCTTTGTGGCATGTGGATCTGTATCATACTGGTGACATGTGACTCTCCACCATACCTTGGTGGCATGTTGATCTGTATCATACTGGTGACATGTGACTCTCTACCATACCTTGGTGGCATGTGGATCTGTATCATACTGGGTACACAGTCGGATAGTGTAAAGTTAGTGACCAAGTTAGGAGCACGACATTTTGAACAGTATGTTCACGATACATGAATATGACGACGTCTTAGCTTAATGTGGGAGAAAAGTTCGACGTGATGCAGATCTTAGATATTTGCCACTTTGGTGAAACCCACGAGCACGGGTGTGATGCTTACAGACCAAGGTTACATCTGGTAGGTTAACTAGTGACTTGGATCAATGTGTGTCCCATCTCCAAGTAGTGAATGGGTACCCGGTAGGATTAGGTGACATGTGATTGCTGACCTTCTAGCATCCGACATACACTTGAGTTCTCTCGATGGAGAATGATATATAAGTGCACATGGATTCATTACTTATGGTCCGACACTGACACACCCCTGGAGCCCGACCTTGCAAGAGTTGACGCTTAATGACACTGCTTACTTTTATTATTATCATGATTGTCATTTGTATCATTATATTTGTATAATTATTATTACTTACCGATGGCATATGTGACGCGCTTGCATGGTTCCAGCCAGAGGCAGCCACCATTCCAGAAGGAGCCGTTGTCGAGTTGTCGTAGTTGAGCTCGCATTGTCCCGCCTTGAAGTTCAAGCTGACGCAGCGAGACTGCTGCAAACATGACGTCACACAGTCCTGTAGGGTGAGGGTCTGAAGCACGAGGTAGACTGACCCCACGAGTCTACTACCAGCCATGAGCCCGGGGGTGTTAACCCCTCGACTGCATGTCCCCGTGACTTGACCACATCCTGTCATCAGCTCCACAAGCAACATTGTTGTCAGAAAGCTTTTCATTTTATAACTTCTTCAGATTAATGTCCACACGTTTGTCTTGAAAGCTGAGTTTAAAACCCGTTCTTGTTACCTCCCATTCACTTGTAGATATTACAACATCACTATGTTGTGACAATGATTAGTTTGACAACATATCATTAAAGGAAAATATCACTCCAAAGACTCTGCGTCCGTGTTGCCTACAATGCTCTGCATGGTTGAAACAGAGGGCACTGAGTTGGTCTGCCTCGGAGTACCCGTCATTGATCGTCGTCTTCTTATCCATCTAGAACATAGTTGCACGCATCCAAGACTGGCTTTTAACAAAACGGTAAAATATATACAGTTTAATTCCTTGTGGAGAACATTGGTAAACTAGACGGCATCAATAGCAGAAAGACAACGAACGTGACTATCAGTTCACGCCACAATATAACAGGTCCGTGAAATGACACAAGGCTTGATTGATTTCTGACTTCATGCAACAGTTACTCAGCTTCCAACGATTGATTGTTTTCTCTATACGCCCTGACATAAAGGTATTACTTTCCATGATGACAACATCTTCCAACTACCCATTTCGTTTCAATGACATACCACAAGCCAGAACCCTTAGCAAGTGCACCTGCGGCAAACAGTGCTGTTGGTAAGGGAGAGTGGTAAGTGTTCAACAAGCATATGCAGAATGGAATATTTCGTGAACCTTCACAACCTGTTACCATTCAGAACCATATCCTTGAACACGTTCATGTATAAAGCATGGCAAAAGTAAGTACTCGAAAGAGGCAGATTCACTTTCTTCATCCGTGATGACACGGCGGTGCAGTTTCAATCTCCCTCAGGACCTGTATCTTCGAGCAAACATGGGAAAGAAAGCCGAATTGTCGCACAGGAGACAGCTCAAGAATCTCCTGAACAGCCGCATATTTTGTAAAACAATCACCGTGTTGATCCAAGAATTAACATGGTCCCCATTGAAAGGATAACGATTCCGTCACCGTCCGACGTCGTTGTTTTCTACGTCAGGATGAAACGTTATCTCGCTTTCAAACACTAGACAATAATCTATGAAACTTCCTACAGGAACAAAGAAGCATTTCCAGTTTTAAACAAACTGACGCCAGGAAGCCAGCTTGTTTGTCAGGTTATCGGTTGGCTCTAGGTGCTGAGACACTATTGACCAATGAGCGTGAGGTTGCCAACGCGCGTGTGACGTTACTAATTAAACTAATACCGTTAACAAATATGCCTATTATTATCCAGCGCTACCCGTGAGATCTGGAATACATCGGTAATCTAATCTATGGCAAATGAAGGACTTCCCACACTTCAAGATCGATAAACAATAAATTGAAGAAAGGACACGATTATTCGGATGTAGCGTCTAGCTTTTCTAGCTGAGATTTCACCTGTACTAAAGTCCCCAAACAATATGGTTTTTTTTAATGAGATGTTGTTGTCGTTGCTCAATGACATTCGTATGAGAATTTTTTTGGACATACTTTACCCATGTTAATTTTATTTGAGGGGAAATTCTTCATACTTCATAGTGAGTTTTCAGGGAGGGTTCAAGGGGTCTTTCTTCGACGACCTAAATGTATAGCAGTATGCTATTGGTATACATAATTATGTTTCTCATACTGTTCGCGGAGGACATGTTTTATGCTGAGTCAGCTGCAAAAGATATGTTTGGGCGGAGACTTTAAAACTGCGCTCAACTGTGTTGCAAAACGAATATTCCTTAACGTTTTTCTTTACTTATGAATAGCAAAATATCTGAACTTGTACACAGCAGACGTAATTCAAATTAAACTTACCATTTTTATTTGTTTCAACAAAATCAGTAATGGTACTCTCGTGTCACTGGATTTTCTGGGTCATCGATCACTTGTTTGTCGGGTTTGTTTATAGGCTAACGTCGCAAGGCAGGAGTACTGCTGTGCTGCGTCAGGCAAAAATTATTTTTTTAGGCAAATTGTATGAATGGCGGGGGCTACCGCTAGGGCAGGACATGTTTACCCTTTTCGAACACCTGGTACCATCACTCATTTTCAGTGATCCATTCATAAAATTTCCACTGCTATTTTCCCTTTAAGCCAAGTGGAAACTGTTTCGGTTGAAAATCTAGGCTGGTTATTCTCTTGCACTGACAATTTATATTTGTTGTCCGAACCACATGTTGGATTGCAGAGCTTCGTTAATACTTTATATGATTACGACTTGAATGGAGGCTCGATGTCAAACAATAATTATGGTTTTCCGCAATGGTGGAAAACTGAGATCGAACGAAGAATGGCATTAAGGAAATAAATCATGAACTTGAAGTTGTAGATAGTTTTAACTATTTAGGAAATGGTCTAAAATTTAACGAATCATTGTCCATGACACAGAAAACATTAACAGGAAAGGGATAAAATGTATGAATATACACCCAAAAGAACTATGAGTGTGAGATATGGGTCTTTGCCAACTGTTTAGGTATGGACAGGATTCATCTGAAATTTTGTAAATAAATATGTTAATTAAAAAAAGTAGTTCTGTATGAATTTTGGGGAACTTAGCAGATGCCTTTGCATATAAACATTTATGTTCCTATATTGGTTTAAACTTCTAGTTAACTGTATATTACAAACAATGTATACAATTTCACTTATTTTTTTAACAAAAAAATGTACTTCTTGGGCTAAAAATATGTCATATGTGCATGGGGTTTGGTAGTTCCTGGGAGTATCCCACGTATGTAAATAGTAGGTACATACGTGGGATTTCCAGGTACTTTTAAGTAAAGATTGGTTGATGTATTTATGCAGAAACGACTAGAAAATATGAGCAGCAATGGAAATCAGTTTGTTGTTGAAGACGAATATCACGATATCCTTATCTGTCCCAAATGTGTAAATGAACGTAAACTATATATTAAAATGTAGTAATGGGTAAATCTTAATGTTTATAAGATTGTACAGTTATTTATGTGTAAAAACAATAAAACCTTCACGCTTTATTATGTCACCATGCCCTATATATATGGATATGTATATTTTGGACGTGGACACAGTTGGTTCAAGAATAAAGTTTCTGTTCTGTTCTGTTCTATCCTGTTCTTTTCTGTTCTGTTCTGTTCTGTTCTGTTCTATAAATCAGCCTCCTGTGCGATCACGTGAATTACCGCATCATCAACTGATTACATTTTCCCTTTCCAAAAAAAGGGTTTTACCAAGATATTTGATAGAAAAAATATTGACCGCTCCCATTGTAACATACTTTAAAGATCAAATCCCTTTTGTGTATTTTATTGAACGTGATAATTGTTTTCAATACAAGTCGCAGACATTCGCTCAGACACTACATTATAACTGATGCACGCATTTTCAAGAATAATCGACCTATGATCTGTTCACAAGAAGTTTTAAAAGGTTATGCAGGCAATATATACCTTCCGGGCGGCGTTGTCTGCAAATTATAGACCAGAACAGGTTTTGAGACTAAGTGTGAATAAAAGCATACGTGAGTGAGATGGATTTTGCGCCGCTTTTAGCAATAAAATATGGGTGGGGGTGGGGGTGAATCATCGGGTCTTCCTTCGGCGTCGTGAACGTATTACTCAGCCTGTACCCAGCATCATCACGGCGGGGCACACCAGAAATGGGGTTCACGCGTTGTACCCATGTGGGGAATCGAACCCGGTTCTTTGGCGTGGCGAGCGAACACTTTAACCACAAGGCTACCCACCATTGCTACCCGAAATATTTGAACGTAAGCAAATCACGGTTTAACCTCAGCCGATGTTCTTGGGAGATGTTGCTAAAGACAATACAAACGTATTGAGAAAAAATTAATCATGTTGACGGACTCATATTTTGATTTTCTTCTGAAGGTGAAAATTCGTCCTTTTGCTGTAATTTTAGCCATTCCTGTATATTTGATGCCATAATGAACATACGTCCATACCATTGTACACAGTTTTCCGAGTTAAACGATTTTACACATACAAGTCAATAACGTATTGAAAACAAACACGACCATCCCACAATAATAAATATACGATTATTTGCATCAACGGTGTTTACTATCATGGTTATATGTTGGCCATCGTAGGTTTTCGATTTGGTTAACATTTTCGATATCAGTGTTTTTAGATCAAATACGTTTATTATTTGTTAAAATGTTTAATTGCCGAACTGTAAGTTGTTTTCCTAAACAATGCCATCGCCCTTCAAATATTTGAAGAGTGTGAGTCGGATGAGTGCGGTGCCTGTGGTGTTAACGTACGTGTTTCAGGTGTATTATTTATTTGAAGATAGATTACCCGTGAAAACAGGAAAATCGAAATGTATAGGTAATGTACCCATTGAGTGTAATAAAGATCAAAGGGCTTTGTCGGAACTATGCGTAATTGATCACACGCCATGTTAGTAATGTCACGGTCGCGAGGGATGTTGTTCCAAGGAATTTCACTATCATGCGAATTGGGAAAATGTCACGCCCCTGCGATTGAACACTTTAGGAACACACACGTAGACGTTGCTATATAAGTGCAATAATCTTGAGCGATGTGTTTAATCCCATTTCACCTCACCACTATATTGAGAAAAATACTTATGACCCATCATGTCCAGTGGAAATAAAACTTAGACCAGCTGTCATGGATTAAACTTAGCATACGTTGTGCGGGTGAGTGAGTGAGTCGTATTTTACACCACCTTGCACAATATTTAGGTTACATCACGGCGTGGCAAGTTATTATAGGAGAAAAGCCTGACATGATGCAGTTTTCTAGACGCTTGCCAGAAATCTGTAACTGGTGCTGACAAACCAAGGATCATAATCAGGGCGAATGGGACTAATACAAGGCTTGGTCGGGTCACTCAGTACTCTGACTCACACACACACACACACACACACACACACACACACACACACACACACACACACACACACACACACACACACACACACACACACACACACACACACACACATCCACACACACACACACACATCCACACATCTACACACACATCCACACACACACACATCCACACATCTACACACACATCCACACACACACACATCCACGTCGCCATACTAGTGCAATAGTCTTGACCGCGGCGTTATTCCCATTTCACCTGATAAGTTTCAATACATTATCAGTTTGTTAAATCTTCATTCGGTGTTTTCTATTTCCCTCTTTTTCACTTTCAAATGGAACATACATTGGAACGTCACATTTTCTCAGATCTAGGATTCGAGTTATATACTAAATAGCAGCTAAGTTTATATAAATAATACGACCGGTCATTTCCCCAACTGTGTATAAAAAGGGCACTTTCATGAAAAAAATAATTCTCTTTTAAAATGCTTTACAATTGGAACCGAAAACGACCAAACTTGATGAGAGCTCATAAGTAAACTAATATATGTATTTGTTTTTGAGTTTTGTAATCTTTTAAAGAAATATCAACAGTAAATAGCGGTTCAGATAAAAAAAATCAACGGGGGGAATGTAGAAGCCCTGTGTTCGGGCCACCCTGAGGTCAAGTCGCTTGGGGGCAGGGGCGATGCTAGCACATATGTCTTATGTTGGTGGGGGTTGTGCCATCAATGGACCGCCCTGTGTTGATACATTTGCTAGATATACCACCAACAGGGTAACCACATTTCTTGATAGGCAGTTTTTACCATATGTGTTTGTATTTGAGTGAGTGAGTGAGTGAGTATGTTTTTACGCCGCTT